TCATTCCCATTTCTCCGAGCTTCCTCACAGAGATGTTAGCAGAAGGCGTGGCCAGAATTTGGTCAGGGCGGAGTATATATGATTGGACATGCAGGTACCTTGGTTTAAATCGGTGGATACCGTATCTCATTTAGTTCTTATTGTGTTCAAGCAGTTCAGCTTTGATGTGAAGCTCTTAATTGGAGCAATATTGCCATACTCCTGGAGCCAGGGAATTCTCTTTCGCGATTTTCTTTGATCTCCTTTCCGAACCTTTTTCCTCCCTTGCATTCTTACTAAGAAATACAGATGTTGAAAATACATTGAGTTTACTTTACTGTGGTGAATTTGGTAGGGAAGTAGTTTTTTCAGTGTAATGGCTGAACCCTTCTGGGGATTTTCCCTTTACTATTTTCAACGTGACTGGGAGCATTTTTTTCGGGAGACTCTTGGACTAGTTATAGGGCAAGGTCTTCCTGGTTTTTCCATTTTTTTCCTCCTCGAATGACTCGGGAAGAGTGGTTGTCTCTTTCTTGTTAGTTTCTAGGTGAATAAGATTTTTACCGAAAAGTGGTATCAACGATAATTCGAACCTCTGTCGCTTAAAAAAGCGATAGTTGGCGCAGAACAATCGGAAGAATTATTTCCTTGAATTTTCGGTTCATCAGAATATTCCTCATCTTTATCATCCAGTTCATCGCATTCATTTCCATGGTGCGATGAAGACGGAATAATGCTTAGTGGCGCCATCGTCCTAGGTACGATCCAGGTATCAATCTCCAACCAGCTCTACCACGCATTCTATCCCAGCAAGAAAAGATAGGAAAGACTGGTAATAAGCTCAAATGAAAAGTTAGAAGCAGTGGCTGAATCGGTTGGCTCCCTCAATGTAAGTCAAATGCTGTGCTTTCAAACGCTCCTACAATTCCGACCCGAAGTCGAATACGTAGCCCACACTCATAACATCTACTTTTCCACCTGGTATTAAAACTCGCCGCTAATTGTTTTGTTCAGTGGAAGGTATATTTTTACTTTGCGAATGCGAATCCTACATAATATTTTTCTTTTTTCACTTTAACCTATTTTGTATTTGTGTTATTTTTGTTCTGATTTTATTTTCAATTTAATGAAAAGTTTATTTTCAATTGTGATTTGATTTACTTTCCATTTTTTCAAACTGTTACGTTTGATAGTTTTTGTGTAGACATCAAAGATTAGAAGGCTAAGTCTGAAGAATGCGCCCGGTATTCGACTTCCATTCAGAATCATTGTATCGTATTGAATGCATATGTGACCTATTCAGTGACTAACGGTAGCTAGTCGACGTGCTAATCAGTGGTTTTATCCTCCCGGACGAGTCTGGCACCAATTAATAGGCCCCGCAAGGCTGGGAGGCTTGGTTGGCAGGCCGATATTGATCTGAATTGAAATCTTGACCATTCGTGTGTCATAGTGCAACCTGCCACTGCACCATCTCCGCCCTTTAATTTTCATTATTATTTGAACTGTTTCATTTTATAATTTTTGAGTAGTGTTATATATAATATGTTGATGCATAATTAAGATTTTTGCATTGCAGTTTTTTTCGCGGCTTCTTTTCTCTCGATGCAATTTTAATAGTGAATTCGGGATTCTACAGAAGTGATCTTCTTACTTTCCTTAATAGAAATATGTCTAGAAAGTCATGGTCATATACGCCACTTACGTCCTATTGGAAGGTGGCACAGCCATCAAGTGATCCCAGCGAACTTCTCGGCAATGGAACAGTCAGCCAAAGCTGAATGAAGAATGGAATTTGCTTCTGCGGTCGCCCTATTCACCAACAGACACTTATATGGATTATCAAGTCAATCATCCGGCTAGCGAACAGAATTTCCGACGAAATGGATGACTTGATGGCCGACGTCAAAGCGTGGATCGCCTCCATGAATCGAAACCTCTTCACTGTGGAATCTGACTGCATAGCATATGGGAATCAGTGCTTGACGCAGATGGCGGATGATGGGATGGCGTTCCCAAGTAATCATTTGAACATGTCTTTGCTAAATATTCCTATCGTTTTTTCAAGTAAAATTTGCTGAAAAAAATCCGCAACAATTATGCATCAACCTAATAATTGATTTAATACTGTTTTGTGATCATTATATTCCACCATCTAAAGTTTTTCTCTCATTGATTCCTTGATATATTATGAGCAGTCCGATAGCGTCGTCTATTTTTGCCATCCTTCCCATCCAGCCCATTTCCGTAACAAAGCAGGTTTTTTCAGTTGTGTTTTTCTAGGCTTAGCGAAAAAAGGGCAAAAATTGATCCGCAAATTGCGACGATCATCACCAATTCCTTCTCAGAAGCCATCCTCCTCAGCGATTCATGTAGATTCCTCAGAAAATCATGTGACGTCGGGTTTTCCTCAATTTTTCCTCCGACGAAGCCTATCGACGGCCGTGTTTTTGAGTCTTTGAGTCATGTAATAACTTTTCTCATACTGACATTTTGTTTCTGCCGTACAAGTATTTACTTCAATGGTTTTCCTGGATTTTTCTATTCTCTTTCTCTTCTATGATTCCTCCTCTTTTGTAACTTTCTCTTCTCTCTATACCAATCCAATATTTTATTTCAATTTCAATCTGACCTTTTCATCCCATTACTAGAAGCTTCTTTTCTGCTTTTTTCTACTGTGGCATTCTTGAGTCTTTTACTTTGAAGGTGTATGAGCTCCAGGGTTGCTTTGCTAACCAGCTTTACCAACTTCTTTACTTGACCAGTTAGGTGGAATCCGGAAGAAAATCTACTTATGTATGTATGTGAACCTGACTGTCTCATTAGAAAGTCGGCTCCGAAGAGAATATGGTTATTAGGTATTGAATATTCCTTTTCCTGGATGCGCTCCGCACTTGAAATCTGTTCAGAATAGTAGTACTGTTCCAATGCATACTTATTTATTTATTTGTGCACTCAATGGTGCGCTACAACAGGGCATACGGTGTATGTTTGGACGATTGGGACATATGTGGCCTTTACACTGAATTGCACGGGCCAGCTGATGTACAGGCCGTTGTTTTTGTATTCCCAAACGAGTCTGCTATCTATGAACAAACTTCGGGGGGTTGGAAGGCTTGAGTGGACTGAGCGGGTGTCGCGATTGACTGGTATTCGATCTCAGGATCATGCGTTTGATGGATGTAAATAAACAACAATCTTCGCGAACTTCCGGCCACCTGCCGATATGCCAGCATGTGAGGTGCACGTGGATTAAGCAGCTCCGTGTACATTCGCATACCACTATAACCTATTGATACATGATTGGGGACTGAAAAATGTAGGTGGGCGGTTTATCGTGGAGGAAAGCTAGGTGGGCGATCCCAAATATCACATTCTTTGAACTGGTCCTCACAACTAGAGATGAAAGGTTGTCCCTAAGCGGGTGGGTGAAGGAGGGGGAGAAGGAAAAAAGTCTACTAGTACTACTTTTATTTAAAAAAAANAAAAAAAATGGTTGTAGAAAATTATAAAGATTGCTCCTCCGTAGACAGATGTCAGAGTAGCCCACTTCTAAAAGTTGCTATATCTTATAGTCTCTTATAGTAGATACAGCCCATGTGCAGCACTTTCACCTTTTTCGAACAGGTCCGGTACCGAGCGACTGACGTCGGAGGGATGGAAGGCTTTGGGGTGTATGGATTTGATCCTCGGATTACGTATACGGTATTGCCCATTTTGATACCATACCACTTCCGACCTGGGGTTACTTACCGAAGAACTCAGGATTATGTATGCTGCTCGGATTTAGGAGGAGATCTTCTTTGGCAAGCGATTTCACCCACCTAAAACACCGCTTTTGTCAACTTTTGTTAGAAGGTTAGGTACACTGCACCTACCGGAAGAAGCTCATCACCAAGTAGAACCAGTTACTCGGAGGTACTCCCTTTGCTGATAGTATCCCATTGTCCAAGAATGTATTCTTTAGTTCAACAACCTTCTAGAAGACTTTGATTGAACTGACGGCGAGAAAAACGGGCCCCTTTTACGGAATGGATCTGGACGATTGATTTCCGGATTCGGACTGTCCTTGCAAATTTTCTATTCACCACTTCCTCTTCGCTAAACACCTTTGAGCATTCTGTGGATATGAATACTCCTCGACGAGATACTGTAATTTGATTATAGTAATTTACACTTTAATTAAAGATAATTTCAACTAATAGTTGGTCGCGACCTAGTCTGTTTCTTATTATTACTGGTCATAATTGATGCTAGGAAAACCGAACGGGGAACGGTGTTTAGCTGAGGACTTTGAAGTTTCTCTGGAACCCCACTTTTTCCGTCCCTTCGCTTTATTTGTAGAGTCATAGGGAGGAAGGAGGACAAAGTGTTTGATGTTAGTCAATCTCGTTTTCTGGGCTGCGCCGTGTATTTGGCTATCATTCAGAATCTTAATAGCGTATTGAATGGCCTATACAATGAAATAGGTTGCACAGCCGATGTACGTCTTAGTGTTTTACTTTCCCAAACGGGCTTATACCATTTAGTCGGCCCGAAGAGGATGGAAGACTTAGTTGGTACAGACGGGAATTGGTCTGGGATTCGAACCCCTGACCATGTGTGCGTGACAGCGCACACTTGCCACTACTCCACCTCCCTACCTACGCCCTGCCTATAACTGGACAGAACTATTTTCTAAGCTTTACTCGAGATGCCGTATTCCTAGACGTTCACTCAATCAAGGTACTCCCTAAGTGGTAAATTGTAGCAAGTGTTGGCTACCTGGCAGTCGGCTGAACTTCCAATCGAGCGAACTTGAATCTATGCCAACTTTTTTTACATACTTTTCATTAAGCGAGAATAGTAGGTACGGTTAACTTTGAGCTGTTTCCATTAACACAACTGATAGATCCAGCCTTGTCGGACTGGAAAAGACCCTGAGGTTGATCAGTTACCGTCTTTTATGAACAACTACACAAACAAACATATGTAATGAGCATGCATGTAAATGCCTTAACGATTGCAAATATCGAACAAATTCATGGCTCAATCCTTAGACTGTCTGAATTGGAACGGTTTACGTCGTTAATCTTATACAATTGAAGCATCCGAGGTAGATCACTCCTCTTCCTCTTCCTCTTCCTCTTCCTCTTCCTCCTCTTCCTCCTCCTCTTCCTCCTCCTCCTCTGCCTCTGCCTCCTCCTCTGGCTCAGGTTCGGGTTCTGCTGCTTCGTTTGTTGCGTCTGCTGCGTCTTCTGCGGGTTTTGCGGGTTCTGCGGGTTTTGCGTCTGCTGTCTGGAAAACATACAGTATCACAAGTCTTCTTCACAGGACACTACATTCTCTGTTTTTTTTGAGTTACCCCTGAAATTCAGGGAACTCTGGATACATGAATAATTTGAACGGATTAATGAATGACAGTCTTGAGTTTGATCAATTTTGTTCTGAATATTTTTTTGGATAGTGAGGGTCCCAGTCCCAGCCAGGGCACCTTGCCTGTGGATCAGCAGCAAACTACTGTCTATGTTGACTGCTTTAAATAAATACTACGGATTGATTACGGATTTGTTGGGGATTATCGTTATATTGTGTCCCATTCTCTCCAGACAATAGCTAGGTGGCTAATGTGATGCTGATGTTTATTAGTTGTGGCTATGTCGGGTAAACAGGTGATTGCTACTTTACATTGACACATGTTCCCGCCTTAACTGTGACCTTTGGAACCTCCTAACCTCATATAGTATCAGTCAGTATGTCCGAGCTTTTACCTGGGTTCTCCCACATTTCCTACTTTTTTTATTCCATCTCTCCGATTCAGGTTATATGAACATATCGTCACAATATCCTCGGTATGTATGTAAAAAATGATTATCGATCGCGCCCGCGTAAAATCAATACCCGTTCTTGATCGCATGTGTAGATGTGAATTAAGTTGAGATTGATTTGCGAGAACTTCAAAGTGGGCTGATGAGTTTTCTAGATGAAAAAGTCAGTGATAGGTAAGTTGATGAAGAAAAAGCTCACGACGTAAATCACCTCTCCGGTCATGAGCCGTGCACTTAATTTCGTCTCATAATCGTATTCGTCCTAGGCGATTTTCAGGCCTACATGCATGCCTGTCCTACTGGTCGACCACCACTTCTCATCCCATGGTCTCAGTAGGCCTTCTTTGGGAATGAGGCGTGTTCATAAGCCTGCATAGCCGCTATACAGACTTTTGTGTGACCATACGATCTTGGATGGGAGTCGAATGCACGGCGTATTTCTCGGTTCTGAGCCAGCAATTTCATTGAATGTTTTATCCAACATTTATAGGAAAGGTCGCTTTCTTCTGTTTCTCTAGTTCTCTCTAGCTTTCTCCTTCCACCTCAGCCCCCCTCCCTTCTTCCCGTGCTTTTTAATAGACATGATTAAATACCCGGAAGCTCTTCGCTCATTTTTCCCAGTAGTAATAAATTCCCCGCGTATTGAATGAAGTCTTATGCATTATCGAGTAGAGTGTGGGAAAAGAGCCGTACGTGTTTTCAAGAATTCAAGATCCTCATGACGCCTCAACTCGCTCTTGTTATTCCCATTAAAACGAAGGAACATGGGTAAACAACGCGGAAAACAACTTCTATTCGTACTGGTTCGTTCATTATATTTAACTATGCTACCCTTAGTTACCCTTTTCCTACCCAATTAGCCAAATAAACCAAAGAGACGACTATGGACGTAAATGCCCTTACTTTCCCTGAATCCTTATAACACACAGTTGGTTGAAGCCCTTTAGGCATCATACTACATACATGAAAAGTAAGCAAAAATAATTTTAGATACGGTATTGATATGCAAAATACCCATATCGCTCCTAGGTGTTTTAGGAAGGGAAGGGGGAGGTCCAAAGTACATACATACCTGCTCACTTAACCCAGTCGATTCCTTACGAACCTAACCTAGTAGCAAATTCTCCATCGATATGCTCTCAAAACAACCTACGATTCCAGTTGGCTTGAATTGAGCACTAGTTGATGAAGTTTACTTACCCCTTGTATACCATATGTGGCATTGTCAGGTCAGAAAATGGCTCAGATAGGGTGTTATAAAGGCTCAAAAATTGCCTCGT